ACTTTCAGCAAACCGACTTTAGGTACAATGCACTTAATACCACGAAAGAAAACACACCGGGGAAGGCTGAAATGGCATCAGATTGGCCACGATAAAGAAATTGGCCACGATAAGGAAACGCTAATTACCTGGCCAGGGAAAGTGGCAACTTACCAAATGGTATTTATTCTAAAGAAAAGTGGTTTTCCTAATTTTTGGAGTTTCAACGATGATAAAGATTGAGTGTGTGATTATGCTAAATTTGTTAAAAATCGTCGGTGTTTGATTATGTTTGTTTGTTATAAGATGTGTATAGAATCATCAACAGCATAATTTCATGCTTTGCCGACTGGCGTGGGCGATCATACTACATCTTGATACCTCCAGTAAAATATACCACGGGCACTACGACAGTGATAACACTTTGTTTCGGTAATATCAAGGCTGAGCATTGCGATTAAATCAAAACTGAATAGTTTCGTAAAAATTTGGATCACAAATTAATTTGGTATCTTTGGCAAATTGCAAACATGATAATTACAAAGCCAAGAAAATGCACTCAGGTTTAAACCTCAAGAGCGCACTTAGACTGACTTCGGCATATTCACATTATCAGTATGCTTGCATCTTTGCAAGAAAAAAAAAATACACAACGCTACCAAAGATTAACTCTTGGTTTTTTTAAATTTCTTTTTACAATGAATCTTTAAAAAACAACGCTACCCCAAGAATCTTCTCACACTGTCTTTTCCAATAAATTGTTAACAACACAACGCTAAGATTAATATTCCCAACTATGTCTTTTACCGCGAATCAATAAAAAACACAACACTACCAATAATCTTCTCTCCCTGTCTTGCAAAAAAATGTTTAAAAAAGAAAGTAACACTACCAATAATCTTCTCTCTCTGTCTTTTACAATAAATTGTTAACAAACACAACGCTATCAGTAATCTTCTCTCTTTATCTTTTACCATGAATGGCTAAAAATCTCAACGCTGTCAGTAATCTTCTCTCTTTGTCTTTTACCATGAATGGTTAAAAATCTCAACGCTGTCAATGATCTTCTCTCTTTGTCTTTTACCATGAATGGCTAAAAATCTCAACGCTGTCATTAATCTTCTCTCTTTGTCTTTTACCATGAATGGTTAAAAATCTCAACGCTGTCATTAATCTTCTCTCTTTGTCTTTTACCATGAATGGCTAAAAATCTCAACGCTGTCAATGATCTTCTCTCTTTGTCTTTTACCATGAATGGCTAAAAATCTCAACGCTGTCACTAATCTTCTCTCTTTGTCTTTCAAATGAAATTTTAAAAAACACAACGCTTCCAAAAATCTTTTCTCTTTATCTTTATCAAGAATCGTTAAAAAACTCAACGTTGCCAACTATCTTCTCTCTTTGTCTTTTAAAGGAATTGTCAATAAACACAGCGCTATCCGTAATCTTCTCTTTTTGTCTTTTAAATACATCGTTAAAAAACATTATTCCTTAAAAATCATAACGCTACGAACAATCTTCTCTCTTTGTCTTTTGAATGAATCGTTAAAAAACATAACGCCACAAATAATCTCCTATCTTTGCTTTTACAATAAATCGTTTAAAAATACAAGGCTACCAATAATCTTCTCTTTTTGTCTTTAAAATGAATCGTTAAATAAACAAAAACACAATGACACCAATAATCTTCTCTCTTTGTCTTTTAAATGAATTGTTAAAAAAAAAAAAAAACCACACTACCAAGAATCTTCTATCTTTGTCTTTTACAATAAATCGTTAATAAAAAACATAAGGCTACGAAAAAATCTTCTCTCTTTGTCTTTTAAATGAATTGTTAAAAAACACCACGTTTCCAAGAATCTTCTCACTTGCTCTTTTACCATAAATCGTTTCGTAGTTCTCTCCACACCGCCTACCCTTTTCCGATTTTTAGTCGCCCCCACCATTCAAGTAGACCACTTGCGGTTTGCCCCGACAGTGGTATCGATAACCGACAGTTTAGTAAGCAAAGGCAAACTACTGAACGTACATTTGTAATGAAACAATGGGTTTGGTTCAGGAACGTTCTGTTAACGCCTCTTATTTAGTTCTCTTTGCAGAAAGTGGGCCAGAGTCATCTCATCATCTCATCTCGTTCTGATCTTCTGGTAACTTGCAGTGTCGAGGTGAAGTATAATTTAGGGCAGTGTTTCCCCAACTTTTACTTAGTCGAGGCGCCTTTTGTTAATTACAGTTTTTTTCACGGCGACCTAACTTAAGTAAAAGTTTGACTATTCGTGTGTAAGAGATAAAAAAAAAAAAAAAAAGAATAAACTTGTGTATCTTCGAATATTTCGCGGCGCCTATGTGAAGAGGTCGCGGCTCTCAGGGACACCGCAGCGCACAGTTTGAGAATCACTGATTTAGGGAAAAGCCGCCGTTTGTGCGCCTTGTAAATGGGAATTCCCAGAGACTCCGTAATTTCCTCTGTACATCACTCTTATTTGCTTCCCTCCAGGACTGTTGTACATCATTGCTTGATGTGGTATACTGTTTGCTGGCCTCCGTGTCATGGCCAAACCATTTCTCCTGTTGTCTTCTAATAAAACTCTGAGCTGCAGTTACCATCATTTTCCTTCGGTTTTCATAATTTCTGATCTGATCTGTTCTTGTTTTATTGACCCCCACGCAGCAGTTCTTCCTGTCATTGTCCAAGTGTGGCGTTGATAAGACAGCATTGGCAAGAAGATTGTGTCATAGAGTGTTCTTCTGGTTTCTATTGATACATGTTTTCTTCTTAGTATTGGCACCATTTGTACAAAGAGTTGGTTTGCTTTGTTACATCTGTCCTCTATTCTGTTAGCTGAATATTTATTATTTATGTTTCCTTTGGCTATGGTCATAAATTCTGTTTTGTTGGCGTCAATTTTCATGTTTTGCTCTTCGCGAATTTGGTGAAGAATGTTGATTGGTTCTTTCTGATGTTTTTGGAAGAAGCTGCAGGCTACAGCAGCTACACACTGGCTTGTTGACTCGAAAGGCTTGCGTTCAAATCCGCATCGAGCCTGCATGTTTTGCAAATTTCACTCCTATGTCCACCTAGCTTATATTACGAACAAGCTTCGTAATGCGGATCGGAATGTCTTGGGTTCAAATCCTGACGGAGCACTTCGAAGTCAAAGTGAACCTGCCTGAAAGGCAAGGAACTACAGGTCTGCATACAGATAAGCCAGATCTGTGAAACAGATGTGCACGTAACACTCAGGCTCTGGAGCAAGACTGAAGTCCAGAGGCGGACGAACACCCAGAACTTTTCACCGGAGTTTACAACCGGTGAATGCGACGAGAAAAAAAAAAAGGTTACAATTCTGGCAGAACAAGAACCGACGTATTGGCGAAAGTGAAAACACATCTCTAGCGTACTAACTACGTCTCTTCAAGAAAATATGCTGACAGATATAAACTAGCAGAACCAGCAATGATAACAACCTATTTCTGAAGACATTATTTACATCTCAACAGTCTAGATGCTAATTTATCCCTAGCCGAAACAATCAATATTAAATTCAAGATTCTGACTATGTTGCCGCATACCAGTTTGCCTTCTGAATTCTCAAATGTTTTAAGTAAGTATTTTTTGTGAGTGGATCAAAGCAGGTTAAAGACGTTCTTTTGGTGCAATTTGAATTGGTCTGTAATGAAATTATGTGATTTAGCCAGCTTTCAAATTGAGCCCTGTGCAAATATAACAAATTCCAACTGTGATAATTTATGTCCTGTTTTTATTGTATGAATTAAGTAACATAACGTCTTACGGCAGAACAGGTTAACTATCTGTGTATCTGTAATTCTGTTTTGTCTGTGCCGGGGGAAAGGAATGTTATATGATGTGATTTGTACAATTTCTGATTATCTTCTGGGACGATTATTTGTGAGGTTTTTTCATCAACTCTTCGTCTTATTTTATTTCTAAATCGGCACAGACTTCTCATTATTTTATCTTATCTTCTTCTCCATTTTCTTCGTTGTAGTCTTCAACTCATTGGTAGACATCAGATTCGACTTCACCGTCAGGGTCGCCGTCTTTTCCGTCGTGTTCTATACTGTCTTCTTCGTGATCTGCCGCTTTTTTCTGCTTCTTCTTCTGCTGTTTCTTTTTCTGCTCCTACTGTTTCTCCGTCTGCAGGTGCTGCATTTCTTCTTCTGCTGATACTGTTTCTTCTTCTGCTGATACTGTTTCTTCTTCTTCTTCTTCTTCTTCTTCTTCTTCTTCTTCTTCTTCTTCTTCTTCTTCTTCTTCTTCTGCTTCTGCTTCTGCTTCTGCTTCCGCTTCCGCTTCCGCTTCCGCTTCCTCTTCTTCTTCTTCTTCTTCTTCTTCTTCTGCTTCTGCTTCTGCTTCTGCTTCTGCTTCTTCTTCTTCTTCTTCTTCTTCTTCTTCTTCTTCTTCTTCTTCTATTTCTTCTTCTTCTTCTTCTTCTTCTTCTTCTTTCTTCTTCTTTCTTCTTTCTTTCTTTCTTTCTTCTTCTTCTTCTTCTTCTTCTTCTTCTTCTTCTTCTTCTTCTTCTTCTTCTTCTTCTTCTTCTTCTTCTTCTTCTTCTTCTTCTTCTTCTTCTTCTTCTTCTTCTTCTTCTTCTTCTTTTTCTTCTTCTTCTTTCTCCTAAACGTTCGTTTTTTTATGTAACTATTTAAGAAGAAGCAGAAGATAAAAGAGAAGAAGAAGGAGGACAAGAAGGAGAAGCAGAAGAAGATGCAGGAGAAGAAAAAGAAACACGAGAAGAAGAAGAAACAAGTGAAGAAGAAGGCGAAGAAGAGCCACATCACGGAAAGTAACTCGAAGACGGCACAGCTGCCTGTTGCTGTAAAATGTTCAAACACAGTCATTCTTAAGATTAGACCAGGACACAAACCTCATTTTCTGACACTACAAGTCTTGCATTCGAAGCTCAGAAACACATCACTGCTGATTTCATCAGTCACTATAAACAACATAGACAGACATATTTTTTTTTTCAAAACTAGTCAGTACAGACTTCCTTCCTTACCTGACTTGACCGAGCAGTGAACGTGTCCGCGAGTTTCATAGTACACCCAGTCAAACCCAGCTTCCACAGCAAGGCGGGCCAGCATGCCATATTTAGAGCGATCCCTGAGATAAAACAGAGTGACGTAATTTTAATTCCAAAAGTATTTCAGTTTTGACATACCATTTTATGGACAGACCAGAGCAAGTCATTATTCTACGCCTTAGAACAGGGCACAATCGCCTTAGCAGCCAAAAGTAAACAAAATTTAAAATCGGCGAATCCGCCATGTGCACACGTGGATTGGCACCTGAGACAACAGATCATATTCTCCAAGACTGTCCCAAATACAACACATCAAGGTAAAACTTCTGGCCAAGAGAGGCACTGATGGAAGCTAAACTTTACGGGTCGCTGAGTGAATTACAAAAGACAATAAAGTTCATACTAGAGACGACACTGCAGATATAGATAATTTATTTCAAGCGAACGAATGAAAAATAAAAGGAAGAAGAAGAAGAAGAAGAAGAAGAAGAAGAAGAAGAAGAAGAAGAAGAAGAAGAAGAAGAAGAAGAAGAAGTTTTGATAGGCGCCAACAAAACTGAAGAACCTCTAAAGCAGTAGCTTTCAACCTTCCTTACGCCGCGACCCTTTAATACAGTTCCTCCATATCACGACGACCCCCAAACAATTATTTCCCCTCATAACTATAATGAAAATGTGTTTTCCTATGGCCCTAGACCATCCTGTGAAAGGGTCATTCGACCCACACACACAAAATAAAAAGAAGTAGCGACTGGCTGGTTGAGAACCGCTGCAATAAATTCGTACAAATGTAAAAGGACCACGTTCAAGACAATTGGCTGTTGGGCAATAAGAATGAGAAGAAACTCCACAGGGGAGCATGTACAGCAGGAGTCTACCAATCATCAATAGAAGTAACCTCTCGTCGACAAATGTTTCTGCCCACTCGCTCAAAGACATTTTCAGAGAGTGGGCCCATCTGAGTTCATGAAGCTCGGGGTTGGTTTCTCCTGCTGCACGTATTACAAATTATACAGACGATCCTTTTCCACGCCTTTGGGTGTATTGGGTATATAGTGCTTGGCTCATATTTATTGGACCAGTCGGCACTGCGTGGGTAATGTGGTCAACATCCGCCGGCCTTGTTTACTTCCCAAGACTTTACCTAGTATCCATTCAAGGCTGGGTCGACCTAGAAACCAAGGTCAAGTTTAAAAACAAGTCCAGCTACGTTCGGATTTGATCTCAAGACCTATGGATATTCGCAGTGAGCGTAGACCTATCAAAAATGACCTTGGCTCGCAGGTCAAGCATTTTAATTAAATGAGTACAGATAAAGTCATGGGAAGTAAAGAGGGCCGGTGTGATGCTGATCACATCACCCAACGAGCACCCCTTGTAATATGTTGTTCTTGCAGTCTAGCCATGGTTGCAAATTCACAGTCATCATCTGGTTTTCGCAAACGTGTTAACTTGTCAAAGAGTATTCAGTGTATCAGCACGTTCCCCCTCCGCCGTAGCTTTACCTGCAAGCCTATCAGCCTGCTCATTTCCTTGCACGCCTACGGGCCCCGACACGAAGATGAAACTGATATTTGTCTGCCCCGACTGCCTCACAGACTCCAACCACTGTCTTCAGACTCAGCCCATTTATGTTTTCCTGAGCATACTCGTTGAACAACACAGAAAACAAGCACCGGTAAAGGTTTGCGTCAACCGGGATGTTATAGCTTTGGTCGCTGCCATGACCTCCATAGACAGACTTCTTGTGGTCTAGGCGAAAGCCCCAGAATCGTGCTTCACAATTCTAGCTCCAACCTTAACCGTAAAATCCACGAGTACCTCTCATGACGAACCATAGATTCATATGTGTAAATGACGGCGTCTTCCTCCATAGAATTCTCGAAAAACAGTTCCTGCAAGTCAATCACAGAACGTCGCTCTCATCACGGTACGCTTGATAGATTTTTCTTTCTCTAGCTAGTTATCCAGCCCTATGTGCTTTCATTACCCAATGCGTCTTCAAAGTCTAGAATCCACTTTCTTCGTATCGTGTTGTGGAATCTGCCTCCCCATCACCGTTCTCTCAAGGTCACCATGACGCTTAACAATGCCACAAAACCTCATTTTTCGGGACAAGATGCTGTTTATGAGCCAGTTCTCGTCAAAGTTCACACCACATAGAAAGATAATAGGGGCTCTTGAGCTGAAATGCTATAGCCAAATTCCCAGAATACCAAGGATGAGAAGAAATAATGACATTCTAAAAGATCTAGACGTCAAGAAAGACTGGCTAATAAACAGCATCTTGTCTCCGACGCATCAAAGCGCTATAGCGGACTTGAAAAACAATTGTAGCAGAAGGCATGGTACCGGGAAGGAGGGGCAGAGGCCGACCAACACGAAGATGGGCACATGATATACGTGAATCCGGAATATGAAAGTACACGAGGCGGGAGAGCTGGCGAGAAACTGCGTTTCTTTCCGGCGACGTCCTGTAGAGTACCTGCTACATGATGATTATGAACATAACATTAAATAAAATAACGTATAAACTCACCCATACGCGCGGGCACACAGACACACACGTTTCCCCCTGCCCAGTTTACCTGTCTGATGTAGTTATGTCCACGGCCCTTCCCTCATAGTGGAGTGAGTTCTCGGCGTGCATCCCATCTTCATCCCAAGCCTCAGTGACCCGAAGCTTGACCCCTGGCCATTGGTTGAGCACGGAGATGGCCAGCGTGTTTAGCTTGTCCTTGCAGCGCTGAAAGAGAAATGCAATTGTCGTGTAAAGTCAGCATTGCCTGACACTCATATATGATATATAAATACGGACCTGTTTACGTTTCCCAGCCCATCTACACACTTTCTCAATCTGATCTAGGTCGGAGGGGTGTCACGTTGTACTGCTTTCTTTGAAAACAGTCCCTCGTGTGACCTAGGTTGAGGCAGTGTTGAAAAAGGGTGGGGGGGGGGGAGGGCCAGTTCTACATGTTCCGTGGTCACTGAAAGCTGTGTCGTTGTGTAGTATAGAAGACGCGACATCGGCGCTGATGTAACTGGAAGGAAGACAACGCGACACCCTCCGACGTAGAAGAGGCTGATAAAGTATGAATGGATGGTCAGGTAGTGTGTAGATGGGCCGGGAAACGTGAACAGGACCATATCTACTAGTTCACACAGGAGCAGCAATGATGTAGCGGATAGACGTTTGCCTGCGCATCCGAAGGCTGTGGGCTCAGATCCTGACGGAGCTAAACGTTTTCGTCAGAAACGACCTTGGCTTCCGGTTAGAGCTGGATATCAGGTAAAGTCCTGGGAAGTAAACTCGACCGGCGTAATGTTGACCACATCACCCACCGAGTGCCGATTAGTCTTTATAAACTAGGTCTAGCCCCATATGCCCAAGACCTCTAAAGGCGGAAATAAATGAGCCTTTACCGTTCTAAGATATAAAGTAAAGGACCCTTTTCCACGCCTTTAGGCATATAGGGCATATAAGGCTAGGTCTAAAATTTTATAGACCAGTCAGCACAAGATGGGTGATGTGGTCAGCATCACGCCGGTCGCCTTTACTTCCCGGGGCTGCAACCGGTACATACTCAAGGGATGGTCGACCTAGGAGTCAAGGTAATTTTTGAAAAAAAGTCTGTCTCCGCCAGGGAGCGAACCAACGACCTTCCTATCCGCAAGCGAACATCGTTCTACTGAAACACCTGGCTGACGATATAAAAACTTTACTAAACATTTATGCCAGCCATATTCCAGCTAGAAAATCAACACTATAAATATTCTTCAATGTGAGGTAGGTAGGTAGGTAGGTAGGTAGGTAGGTAGTTGTGTTTACTTCACCAAGACATCACACAAGCAATAGACACCCGGTGACACAAAGTGCCTCCATGCGGATGAGGATCACCCGTGGAGAGGTCCCAGAAAACTCTTTCAGCCGTTATGCCGTATCTATCGCTAGACCATATCTATGCCCCAGCCATGTACAGGCCCCCGGCAGAAGCCAGGGTGGGGCATCAAATAACCAAAAAAATTGCATCCCACATAGGATGATTTTTATGTGTTGTAATGTAAGGAAGCTATAGAAATCAGCATACATTTCCCTGTGTGGATAAAAAGACATGACAAAATGGAGCATTCACTATGGTTCTATTTTTTACACACACTATCTTTCACACACACACACACACACACACACACACACACACACACACACACACACACACACACATACACACACATCCAAAGACACACATACATATCTAAACACAGACACACACACACACACACACACACACACACACACAAACAAGTACACATTAACATACAAACACAAACATACAAAACAATGCAGAAGGGATGAAAAAAAAAAAGTTCATGGACTACCAAAGAAAGTGCGAGGGCAACTAAGTACAAAACTGGTCCGAGTTAATCCCCGTTGATTGGCCGGACTGTCGCAAGGGATCTGTCTTGACAGCCGACGACAGGGCTTTAGCCAGGAAGCCGGGAAACCCTTCCACGTCTAGTCGCCGATAGACGACATAATCCATATGGAGATGTCATCTGCTCGCTCCGTGGATGTCATCCGTATTAATAACTTTCGTTTCCTTCTGTCTTCTCCATGCCTTGTTGGCGCTTTTGTCATATTTATTTCTTTGTTATGGTGTTTACAGCACATTTGTATTTTTACATCTATCACTGTGGATGTTTTCAACAATATTTCATTACCTTATGGTTGTTCGCATGTCTTGGAATATGATTTATATGCTTTGCTAGGGGGGAAAAGTTAGTATTTCATTTTCTTGGCTTCTTCCCGCTCGTCGACTGTTATCGTCAACGCTGTACCGACTGGGCTAGTAGAATACGAGTAATCTCTGACACTAACACGATTGCGTGACATGGAAGTAAAGCATGGTGAAGCACGTCTATGCCGTCTTCGATGAAGATAAAGGAGACAATATAATCAGCTTCTCGTGCGAACAATTAGTAGAAGTACTTTGGAGTGGCAGCTGCATCAGAGGACTGAGCACGTATGGGAATGCCCAATGTACAGTGACGTCGATTGTGATAGCATAACATAAACACTCGGGGGAAAGTTTTGGTTGTTTGTTCATTTCTAGACTTTATTCTTGTTCCCTGCCTCTAAGGCAAATGCACTCCGATTTCGAATGTAAACAGTAAATATAAACTTCTTCTTCACACCCTTGGGCATATAATCATCATCATCAGCATCATCAAGTGTCTTTAGAGTTGGCGTAGGCGTTCACGCATCTCCACAGATTTCGGTCTTTGGTGTTCTGGCTCAGTTCCACTGACGATATTCCTTTATGTCGCTGTTTTAGCATGCGATATAAGGAGACGTTCCAAAGTCTGGTAATCATAACAAAACAATGTCATGTATCAAGCGATATAAGGAGACGTTCCAAAGTCTGGTAATCATAACAAAACAATGTCATGTATCAAGCGATATAAGGAGACGTTCCAAAGTCTGGTAATCATTAAAAAAAAAAACAATGTCATGTATCAAGCGATATAAGGAGACGTTCCAAAGTCTGGTAATCATCAAGCAACAATGTCACGTAGCGAGGAAAATAAGGAGACGTTCCAAAGTCTGGTAATCATTAAAAAAAAAACAATGTCATGTATCAAGCGATATAAGGAGAAGTTCCCAAGTCTGGTAATTATCAAGCAACAATGTCACGTAGCGAGGAAAATAAGGAGACGTTCCAAAGTCTGATAATCATCAAACAAAACTGTCACGTAGCATGGGATATAAGGAGAAGTTCCCAAGTCTAGTAATCAACAAACAACAATGTCGCGTAGCATGGAATATAAGGAGGTCTAAAGTCTTTGTAATCATCAAACAACAATGTCACGTAACAAGAAATATAAGGAGAAGTTCCCGTCTGGTGATAATAAATGCACTATAAAACAAGTTATGTGCTAGAAGGAAAGGTTCCAGATTTCCAACAATGAAAGAACTATTTTTCGAACCGCCGGCTAAAAGAAATAGTGACTATATAAAGAAGTTCCCAAGTCTGGTAACAATTCAAAGAATATATAGTCCCGCACTTAATAACACCGCCATCTTCTCAACCTAAAGGCCAAGCTACAGATATCTCATTGTATACACAACACGATCCATAATTAAGGCTGATCGCCTGCGAGGTGCGAAAAGTTTGTTTTGACTTCCAGAAAGTGTATTTCTTCGAAATGAGTCTGCGTCTACTTTGACCTTTTCACCGATCCTTCGTCTTGCCACCTGAATTGGAGCCTTAAATGTCACTCAGAACTGTTAGCCGGTTTCACCGCTCACACTCCTCATGCAATTTAGGTTTAGGTTAAAAAAATAGATCGACGTCATGGCACAATGGTAGTAACCCATAAGTGCTCCGTTTTACTTTTAACCCAAGCCTGAGTCAGAAGAATCTTTGCACAACGCACGAACTCCGTAGCACCAGAGAAAATACTTTAGGTAGATTTTTAACTCCAAATTTTGCCTGGACAGTGCCGCTAGGCTATTCTTTTTGATTTCCAACGGCCAAGGTATATTTTACGTGCGCAACAACACACACCTGACGCGGAATATTCCGTTTCATCGGCGCCGACACCGAGAAATTATTTTCGGAAGGCGGGGGGGGGGGGGGGGAGAGGAAAGTACCTAATCCCATTGTCTTACATGAGTTCTAGCCGTGTTGAAAAAGGGGGGGGGGTGGTCCCTCAAATGGAATACATCTAGTTTGAGATGATGGTGATAATCATAAAATACTGAATGACAACCCAATATAATAAAAATTTCAAATAATATGACATATATACAAATATAAACAAATGGTGCCAGGAAGGAGGGGCAGGGGCCGACCAGCAGGAAGATGGGTACATGATATAAGGGACTCCTTGGATATGGAACGATGCGACGCGAGAGCTGGCGAGAGGCCGAGTTTATGACGAAGAGACCGTGATGAGAGTGACATTCTGCAAAGGACCTGCTACAAGATGATGATAATAGACAAAAGCTGAAACAGGACTGCAGTCCTGAAGTGGACGAACAACCAGAACTTTTCACCGGTGTTTACAGCAGGTGAACGCGAAGAAGAAGAAGAAATACTTTTAAATATAATTTATATTTACGGATTACAGGATCGGCGCAGTTCCTCCCCCCTCCCCTCCAATATATTTTTAAGGAGTCCTAGGGCTAAAGAGCCTAAAGCAACCTGGACCTCCAAATCCCAACACCTATGAGCCATTTTGAATCGCTTTGAAACAAAGTAATGCGCACAGGTTTGCACCGAATGACTTTGAGAGGATTCCCAGACTTGGTTTACATGAAGAAAACTTATCTCTATTTCCAGACAATCATGATCCTATATCTGAAGCAATTTATGAACCAGTTCATTTATTACTAGTGACATTTTGCCAGTGTGGTAGTTACCTGGCAATCTCCGAAAATGTGAGAGATATTAGTTTGAACTCTCTTCTTTCTGCAACCTTTGATTGTCGACTTTAGTGGGATGACGGGTAAATGTTTATCTATTCAGTGTCGCCATTTTACGCTTGTGTATTTTGTCTGAGGCAAAAGAGTTTGGCAACTGGATGTTGCTGTCTATGCACTTGCAGTGGAGAGATTTGGCAACTGGATGTTGCTGTCTATGCACTTGCAGCGGAGAGATAGTCTACAGAAAATACGGTCAAGGAATCGATGCTACTGGGGTTATACCTCATCTTGAACTTGTTCTGCACTAATATGAGTGTTAG